TTATTCTGTATCGTATGAAAAAGCAACGCAATTTTAAGAATGCGGAAATGGTGTCTCATAGAACCTATAGAATGATTTAAATGCAACATTTTTGATCAAAATCACATTGGGATTTCCCCCCCCCCCCAGCATCACAGAGAGGAAATAAGGTGACACTGACCCCTCCTCCTATTTTTCAAGGTGACTTTTCCAATTTATTTAATTCGGAGTAGAAATGTCTGGAAAAATTCATGTCTTCGATGTATTTTATAATCTTCGGAACTCTTCGGAATTTTACTCCCAAAATGCTTGAAATCGCAATTCAGGGACCCTAGATTTCAAAATTTTCCCGGGGGTGCATGCCCCCGGACACTCCTAGACTGTCTCACGCCTTCAGCGTGAGGTCGGCCCCCCAAAAAATTAAGGTCTCGCTACGCCACTGATTATAGCTGTACGATTATAGGTACAAAGAGTTTAAGTTATTGTTTATATAGGTAAAGTTAATAAATTAAGGTTTTACAAAATCTCTCTTCAGACTCGCGCTTTGGCCAAACCTCGACGGCTCATACTTTTCGTTCTGCATTTTTTTCTTGTTTTGCCTCCCAGTGAAAATTCCTTAAAAAAGGCACTGAACCAGTTCTTCGAAGTCTTTGTCGCTAAGGGCATGCACCGGCAATCCGCTTTGTGTTGGTGGAAGAAACGCCGTGCAACTGTGAAAATGCTAGGAGTATGATTGTCTATATCAGCCAAAGGTACAGACCCATATAAGTTACATACGTCTAAGCTGCAGAAACCATGTAGTAAATTACTGTCCGTATTGGAGATGAAATTGATGAATTCGTCAGTGTTTTTTAAATGAGCTGGAATATGTTTTAAAAGTTCTCGTAATGATTTGGCTAGGTACTTGGACAGAGAAGTTGCGGGTGTATCTGTAGCTGCGTGTATAGGTCTGCCTTTAAGTTCCGATCCCTCTTTATGATCTTTGGGTAGACAGTAGGCAGAGCAGGGTAGTGGTTCACTGCAGATGGTAGCTTTGAGGTCCTTATATAACTTGGGGTTCTTATATCGATATTTGTTAGTAACTTTGTTCAAACGGGTATTAATGTTCATTTGTTCCGTCCTCGGTAGATTTAGTCTATTTAATTCTTTATAATTTCCTGTCTCTGTTGTTGATCTATGTAGCATATCATGATATGATGTTGAATCCAAATCAAGTAATCGTTTAGTCTTACACGTGGGGGTGATAACTGTGTCCTTTGGTGGCAATATCTGTCTCTCTCTCTATAATCTAACTATTATAAGAGTAATAAGACAGTTATAGATTACATATACACATCAATTATAAAAAAATCTAAAAATTATGTGCTACTGGTTTACAAGATTGCCGTGTGGGAGTTCACTTGAATTATTATAATACTTATTTAGAACTTTCTTAAATTGTGGAAATGTTTGAAGCTTTCGTACATCTTGAGGAAGACTGTTCCACAAGTGGGCACCACTATAACAAAAACTTCGTTTTAAGTAATTTATGGAGGATTGGGCAAATTTAATCTCGTCTCAAAATTTCTTAAATTGTACCCTGTGTCACGAACTGAAAAAACGTCTTGTCGATATGACGGTATATTCCCTTTGAGAGTCTTTTCTTTTCCCTTTGAGAGGCTTTTTGCGTCTTAAGAAAATGCGATCTAAGTGTAAAGTATTTAATAGGGTGCTTGCACTGCATGGTATCGTAGCTAGACCTCGCCGGTAATGACCCTTACCACTGAACGAACATATTATAGATAGGGGTATTGGGTTACCTGCGGGAAACAAGCCTGTTCGCGGGCGACCTGAGTATCGGGAAAAACAACGAACATGTGAGACTTTGTGAGCGAGAGTTTTGTGTAAAAAGTGGGAGTTTTTATAGTTTATTAAACTTTACTAAGACATAATACGAGAGTTTTAGTGTGCCGACACAAGTTCGGCACACCACTCGGTTCTGTAATTTCTGTATTTTACAGCTTAATGTTTCACCAATACCGTCCCAGACCGAGCAACAGTAGCCAAAATGAGGTTGAAATTAAAGATCGGTAAACTTGAATAGCAATGTTCGTGGTAATAAACGATCTAATGCGCTTTAAAGCGCCTATAGCTGAAGCAATTTTTTACATAATTTGCGAATATGTACTGACCAAGAAAGGTGTTCGTCAATGTGTAGCCCTAAGGATTTGATGAAATCAACCCTATTTATTTTATTATCATTTATCTTAATATTCATTTCATCATCTATAACTCTTATTTTCTGGCTAGAATCAATAATCATAAACTTTGTTTTTACGATATTTAAGCTTAATCTATTGGTTGTAAGCCAACTATTGAGATTTTCCAGTACTTCAACAGAATTTGAGGCATAACTGAAGCCAGTATCATCTGCAAACATTCTGGCTGTTGTATGATTGAGGCAGTTTGGTGAATCATTAATAAAGACAAGAAATATAGTGGCCCCAAATTGCTTCCCTGAGGAACGCCACAGGTTATTGGGACGAAGTTTGACAATTGACCATTGACCAGACATTTTTTAATTCTATCAGTGAGATATGATTTAAACCAAGGCTATTTCGCTCAACTCCATAATTTTCATGTTTTAGCAACATAATATCATGTCAATCGTATCGAAATCTTTCTTTAAATCAAGAAAAACAACTCAATTTACTAGTCCATTGCCAATATTAACAGACCAACTATTTGTAGCCTCAGTTAGTGCCGTTAAAGTCCTATGCATTGATCGGAATCCAGATTGACAGGGACTTAACAGCTTATTCGTATTAAGATATTCATATAATTGATAAAAAATGATTTTTCAAAAATTTTTCCAACCACTGGAATAGCGGATATAGGCCGATAGTTACTTGGGTCAGTTTTAGCACCACTCTTAAATATTGGTGACACACTGCTCGCCTTCAACTCACGCGGAAATATTCCTGCATTTATGGATGTTGCAAATATTCCAGTTAAGGAAGGTGCAATCACGTCTGCCGCTAATTTCAATAACTTATTGGGTATTTTATCTAGACCAACAGATTTCTTTTCATCAATTGTACTCAAAATCTGTGAACAGTATCAACAGTAGGAGTTTGCAATGAAAACGTTTTATCGGATGCTTTAAGATAGAAATTCGAATCATGATCCGGATATGGTATTTCGGCGGCAAGGATGTCACCAACATTAGAAAAGTAGCTGTTAAATGCTTGGGCTATTTCAACAGGCGAGGTTATGTCTCGTTCCACAAATTTATTTCACTTATTCTTTTCGTTTTTCTAGCATTTCTGGAGCTCAATTCATTAATTAGTTGCCATGTCTTTTTCATATTATTTTTATTGAGCTCAAGATTTTTTGTGAAATAATCTCGCTTAAGTTTGTTAATTTCGGCGTTAGTTTGATTTCGAGCTTGTTTATAATCTTGCCAAACATGAGGGTCATTTGATGAAATAGCTTCTTTTTTTTTAAGTAGTCTATTATATATATCCTGCGCTTTAATTCATTTGTGATCCAAGGGGATTTACGCTTTCTAGTGCGTCTAGATCTAAGTGGTGCTTGCTTATCAATTGTTGCCATTAACATGTTTTTCCACATCTCCCACATTTCATTTGGATCCTGGGAACAACATATGTTATCCCACTGTTTTTGTTCTAAATCTCATAAAAAGCTTTCTCTATTAAAATTCTTCAATGTCTTAATTTCCACTGTTCTAGTACCTACTCGTACATAATGAGCCTTGCGTATCATATAGGCTAATGAATGGTCACTAATTGATAAATGTATGACACCCGATGTTGCAACATTAGAGGGTGTATTAGTAAGACAAAGATCAATTAGATTACTAGTTGTAGCGGTAATTCTGGTAGATTTATTTACCAGCTGTTCTATGCCATAGATATCTAACATGTCTGTCAATATATTACTGTTCAGTGATCCAGTTGTTGGAAAGGGATCTACATTTAGGTCACCAAGCAGGAAATACGCCACATTCTCCGCATCAAATAAACTGATCATTCGAAATGACTCGCAGGAAAGTCAGGTGGTCTGTACCAAGTACTAACCAAAATAGACTTTGATCTTGTCTTTTTTACTTCTACTATCAAATTTTCGAAAGTTTCCAAATGTAAATCATGTCCTATGTTATAAACAGTATTACACCGCATATAAATGCAAACGCCGCCGCCATAACGGCCATTTACACTTCGGTCTCCTCGAACAATTTCAAAACCTGGTAGACAGACCTGCTGATCGGTAATTGTGGAATCAAGCTTGGTTTCGTTTATACATAATATGTCTATTTTAGTACTGCATGTAAATATTCGTAATTCATCAATATGGGATAATAGACTATTAATTTTCAAACAAGCCATAACCATACCACGATGAGATGGTATTTTGTCTACGTTTATATATGGTAGGCTATTTCTATTAGAATAATTTGGTTCGTTTAACTCACCCACTTTTGTTGGCATTTCTTCATCTAATCTAGAATATTGTTCGTCAGCATTATTACTTACGGACTCCCACATGGCTGTATCCTAACATTTCCTATCGTAAATATTGTTTGTAAAATTTCGTGCCATCATATACTTGATCCCATTTTGTTGAAGTTGATTCTACTCTGGTTTAATTGGTTACTTGTAATGTTAGTGTAATGTTTCTGAATACAAGATTCCTTCAGCGCTGCGTTGACTTCATTGACTTTACGTGTTAGCATTTCGTCGTCTGAACGCGTGACAAGGCCAGACATGACTAGCTCCGTCTCCGGGATTGATCTCTTTATTTTTTCTCCCAATGATATGATTTGTTCTGCGCAATGAGTGGAATTCTCACGACCCTTCAGGCTATTTGTGCCGACATGTAGAATCAATAATTTTTCAGGATTTTCTCTCAATATTGACTTAACATAGTCATCCATGTCTAGGGTGGTACATCCAGGGAAGGTCGAGACTTGAACTCTTGTGTTATATTTCGACATCTTCTATCCATTGATATGCTTTATTATGGAATCGGCTGCTATTATTACTTTAACAGGATTTTGATGATTTCCTCGAGGGTTCGGATATCCATCTTTTCTCTCTTGCCCTTGGTCGCTCGAGATGATTACATTTTTTTAACAGTAGCATTTGACTCATGCATCAGCACAGGTTGTCTCGAGAGGACAATTTTCATGCGTAGCAATTGTCGGTGTTTCTTGTAGTTTCTGAGTCTGATCGCGTTTACTTTTCTTTTTATTTAATTCGACCCACTGGTTTCCCCCTTGATCTTCCTCAGTATTGTTTACGTTTGACCGCAGAGAGTTGTCTTCCTGTATTATTCTTATTGCCGTTGTCAAGCTAGATTTTTCATTTTCGAGATGTTTGATTTTCGCTGGGAGATCTATTATTTTTCCATTAGCCACTTCTAAGGGTCTGTTTATATGGAAGCCGGGCTAGCCCGCTTGGCGAGACAGCCCGATAAGCGGGATGAATTTCTCTTGTGTTTATATAAGAAAATTTCATCACGCTTGCCGGGACAATTTTGTTACATTATATTGTTTTGGCAGTTGTCAAAAATAGGTACGCTGAGCGTAAATACGCCCGCTATCAGTATAGTTCAGCAGAACTAATGTGAGTATAGATTCAAGTAGGCTATAGATTCAAATACATTAATTTCTTGCTCTCTATTGACATCCAATAGCTCTGACGGTCGTAAGCAGTTTTTATACTATTTTTCCCCAGCATAATCTAGTTTTTTTTCCAACGGACGGTATCGTTAATCGAGTTTTCATAATGATCATAAAATCATAACAATAATTTTTTCATCGTCAATTACGAAATTGTGGCACACTCCCATCCTCGGTCCCAGGGCCTCACGGCTGACACTGCGTTGCCGGAGGCCCTGGCGAAAACCAAAACCGGAACTTCAAAAATCTTGTAGTTTGCCGGAAGTAAACGTAATAAAATGCTGACTCTGCATCTTTTTTTGCAAGGAGTGAACTTTGAGAATTTCTCGAAAGAAATAATGTTTTACATGCAAGATAAACATTAATTTGATCTGGATTTCACCATTAAATGTTTTAATGATTGACCAAATCATAAACTAAAGGATCACGTAAATGTTTCAATTATGAAAGCTGTTCAAGTTGATGAATCGAAGGATACAATGTGTAGTTTGGGAGAGTCATTGTATACGGACAGCAATCAATTGGAGAACATGAAAGTTTTTGAATTTTTATTATAATCGACGAAATATACAGACAATTTAAAAGCGATAGCTGTGGACGAAGCCCAATCTTGTTACAGCTGAATGGTGAGTGAGTGATACCGATATATTTGGTTGTTTCTCAATATTCTTTCTTTGCAATATTAATGGTTATCTGCAAGACTGTACACATACAGACAACATACATTCTGTTTAATACGTCTGGTCTAAACGCTGCATTTTACATGTGCCAAGTCTAGAAAAGTTTGTTCAACCTTTTAAGTGCTACCAAATTATTTTACTCAGCTTAACATGCCAGATAATTGAGTGTACTGGTCATTGGTCAATGTGAAAGTGTTACTGCTCAATGGGTTAATCAGATTATCTATTGTACTTTACTGTCTTACTGTCTAATGTCAGACAATTTTGCTCATCAAGGGGAGAGTGGGTATAATTGCAAAGTAATTACTTTGCCACTTTGGACAAATGTATAAGTTACATATGTTTACTACGTACCGGTATGTACATAAATTCAACATTTAAATCAAAATGTCAAACTTTATTATTTGAGTCAAACTTTATTTATTTGAGTCAAACCATGTAAAGTCACATTAGATTTGGCACATGTAAAATGCGGTATTTAGACAGAGACAATGAGCAACCAATAAAAACCTGAAATATTATGTGCATCCCAACCACCCACCCACCCTCGCCCCTCCCCCCTCCCCCCACCTTAATCTTGGTATCCCCAGGTAACGATTGTTTGTGGGATATACAACTACCTGTAAGGTATCGTGTGACTGCATACTACAAGCTAGTATCATATTCAGTTTAATACATATATATGACTTGAAATATGTATTCTCTTGCCAGCCATTTTCAATCATAAAATTATCCATGTTGCTGTTAAATTATGATTGGCTAAAGATTGTTTTAATTTATAAACATTGTACTACTACTTTAGGAAGGATTTCAGGCCTTGCTATGAAAGGATTGGTATGTCGGGAAGTTTGTTTCTTCATCAACTCGGAGAAAGAAGTTGCATCAACTCAGAGTAAGAAAGAAATTTCATCAACTCAGAGAAAGAGAGAAATTACATGAACAAAATAAACAATTTTGTGTCATTGATATAAATAATATTTATTCTTACAATTTCCTCTATGAAAATTTGGTGTGTTAATAAAGATACTGTAAAAAATAAATAACAGCTTTATGGTGCATCCATGCTGTGCTTTAATATTGCAGTAGTGTAGGAAATGGAGGTGTGTGGGTACCAGTGTGCTTGTGTGTGGAGGCCGGATGCTCCAGGAGTTCTCCGACAAGGAATATCAGGTTCCCGACAAGGAATATCAGATTCCCAACAGGGGGCTATAATCTTTCAAACAGTAAAATTATTGTTTTGTATGTTCAACTTATCACTCACACATGAAAATGTTGAATATTTTGGCTATCATGAAATGGTGCAGAATTTATTGTCTGTAACAGTGCATTTACCAGCACTACAAAACAAGGTCACTACAAAACATAATTTTTCCCAGTACATTCCACTTCCCTGATTGGGGAGGGGCTAGAATTTCTACATAGGGGAGCTTAATTAACAGCCCCCTCCCCCATACCGGATCCTTGCACTGCCTCTGCCTTGCCCAATTTCTCTTCAAAGGTTTACATGCTGTTGACATGAAGTGCTCCTCAATTTTAAATTTCAAAACTTTCCTCCTGTGCCTATGGTGACTAATTAAACCTTGAAATCTAGCAGTACAATTTATAGAAATTATGTCAACTGCATGTAAGAGATTCAGAAGTTAGTTTCCCAGATGTTGACACATTACTTAATACTGAATGTATGTATACAGCATAAAATTAGGAGGCTCATCACCAGTGTAGCAAAGTTGCAGTATTACTATTAACAATATAATTTGTCAACTGTAAAAAACATTGATAGCCTATAAATTAAGCTATATATTGCATAAAATTTAAGGCAAAACAAGGTGGAAGAACTAACATTTCCAGCTATTATATTAATCACTTTGTCATTATTAAATAGTATTAAAATACAATATGTCATTATTAAATACATTTAATATAAAATACAATATTTTTACATAAATTAAGAGCCTTTGATGAAATTGATATAAAATCAATAAAGTACTATGTCTATTAAATATAGTATATTATAAAATAATTTATATTTTATAATATACTATATTTAATATATTATGTATGGCATGGACCCCTCTTGCATTGAACAACCACACAGACACTCATTCACGATCAGGATTTTCTCATTTGTAATTGAAAGATGCAAGACATCACTCACAATTTTTGTAGATTTGTACAATTAACGGTACAGTCTTTCTCGCATAGCCTTTCGCCTGTCTTTGTTTATACTCTGTATATATTAATTAAATCTCGTATATAAAACTATAAAATGTCCCTTCGGCTTCGGCGATTTCAATCTTTAAAAAATCCAATGTCCAATTTTGTGCAGCTTTTTAATACATTGTGACACAACATCCAACATTTTTTATATTAAAAATAAAATTTCCATTGATAGACAGCAGATTTCAACGGCCAAAACGACTCTTCGTCTTCTTTGAACAGTTAATACACTCCTATCTACTCCTATAGTCAGCCATATTTATTAGTAAAAGTTCGTATTCAATTTCCGCATTCCATTGTTTTCATGCGACCAATCAAATCACTTCTCGTTTTGGTTTTCGCCAGGGCCTCCGGCAACGCAGTGTCAGCCGTGAGGCCCTGGGACCGAGGATGGCACACTCCTTGCTAAGATGAGCTGTTGGACGTCAGTTCCAGTCTCTTTCAATTGTTTTTGTCTGCGCGGTTATATATTACAACACCAAGCTAGCTGGCCTCATTTTGTGGACTTCCAGTTCCAGCTCGAGGGTTTCCTAAATTGTCATGTGACGACCAACATACAGTTTTCAGAAATTGTGATATTTTTGCATTTAACGATAACAAAAATTGATAACATAAATTAGCATTAATTAAATTAACGCGACAAGCTGCCTGAACACTACAATGTTTTGAAAATATATTTCGAACAACCTGTGCAAGATTTATAAAGTTCTTTTTTTTAGAGTATGTGAGATGATTATTTCTAAATTTCATACAAATTGATATAGTGATTGTGTTAAAATACGCTCGCGTTCCTGACACGAGATAACGTTTAGAATCAATTAATTTGAAATACCCAATTACTTGTATTAAAATTCGCGTCATACTCATTTTCGCTCAGCTTTAAATTCGCGCACGTTGTTGAGACTTATTCGCGCTGCTTTAAATTCGCGCAAGTAATTTTCCGTGTTCGTTCTTTTTGGTTTGATTATTAATACAAATATTAACGCTAACGTTTATTAAAGAACTATTATTATGATGAGTATTTTTGACTGACCTCAAGTCAAATTATATACAAATATTTTTGAATGACCTCAAAAGAATGAAAAATGGCTTCAAAATAATGTAATGTAAGCAAAATTCATGATAGCTAACAATTAATAAAGCGCGAGTTCAAAATACCAACAAGAACTAATACAATAATGCAAGTCCAACTAAAGTCAACTGATTTGCATTAGTAACAATGAGTGTCTCACAAAGCTTTTCGCGCGGATTATATTTCACGCAGTACTAATATTCGCGCACCCAGCGCTGCGCGAATTCTAGTACTGCGCGAATTTTAATATAAGTAAGATACTTAAAAATACATATATTGCAGGCTTGTGGAAGAAATTCACCTTTAATGTTGTAATAAAAATTGAAAAGTGGAGAGTGAAATTTGTCAAAAGCAATTGCAATTTACACACGGCAGTGTATTGTCTATCAACGCATTTGCAATATGAAAGCACAGACGCTTGGCTTGTTATGTGATCCATTAATTCCTGTCATCATTCGTGACGTTTTGATCAAACATGTATAGTAGTAGAACTTTATTTATCCACGCTGACCCCGTCAACCGTATAGCTGATTTCCACGGGGGCCGTGTGCCAGAAAATTATTTTACATGCAGAATATGATAATGATAAGCTAAGCTATTTACAGTAATATATAAATTTAAAAGATACAACAAATGTTTTGAGCTATTCACAGGTAAATTATATTTACAAAGGTTACCAAGCACTAATGTGAGCAGCGATTTTATTTCGAAAGGAAGAAAGTGACTTGCTTTCTCTAATTTTTTTTTGTATAGAATTCCAATGTTTGCTCCGTCGTACATAAAACTATTTTTCATGCTATTTGTACGTGGTTTTGGTAAATAAAGACCACTTGAGACATCCCGAAGGTGGTAATTAGTTTTCTCACTCTTAAACGAAAATAGATTTGTGAGTGATTTTGGGCCCATTTTGTTTAACAACTTATACATCATTCTTGCTTTAGTTTTCTTCCTTTTAGTTTGGAGTGGCTCCCAGCCCAAAGTACGTAAAGCAATCGTATAACCTACGTCATTGCTTATATTCAGAACAATTCTTGCCGCTCTATTTTGCAGTTTTTGCATTCGTTTTGATTGAGTTTCACCAAATACATCCCATACTTCACAGCAGTAGTCAAAGTACGGACGAACAATAGACTAATAGTGTTATATATCGAAATAAGTGTATCTTGATCAACAAATGGTTTGATCCGACGAATAGCAGAGATTCCTGCTGTAATTTTTTGGCAAATATTTTCGGTATTACATTTCCAAGATAAATGCTGGTCAATTGTTACTCCTAGAGTTTTGCATTCATGAACTTGTTTAATTTGTATATTTTCAATGTCTCAAACAAATTTCGAGTGCGATATACGCGGGCGCAAGAACAGCTTGCGGCGGTATCTTTGAATTTTCATCCCAGCAACCGGGTAGCTTGCTTGTGAGTGTTCACATGGAGAAATTTCCATCCCGGTAAGCGAGATCTCGCCTCTTTCAAGCGAAATCTCGGCAATCGGCCCAGCCCGCTTGTCCATATAAACGCACCATAATTTTTACTATAAAAATAACGACACAGCGAGATCTCGCTTACCGAGCTTGTCTCGCTTAGCGAGCCAGCCCGACTTCCATATAAACAGGCCCTAACTCACACTTTAGATAACTCTTTTCGCTTCGGCATGTGGCAGTCCTACATATCGAAGCAGTTTCATCAGCTTCGCGAACTTCAATACAATTTTCAATAGTTTTAAGTCACCTTCGATACGCTTGAATTGAACCGCTTTTTGATATGGGTTTGATACGTATTTGGTACAAATCCATACATGGCCATAAGACCTACTATGGGAAATGCATGGGTTCCTCATACAATTTCATAACAACTTTGCTATGGGAATGATAGGATTCTATATGGAAATGATCTGGGAACATGATATGGAATTCCTATGGTTCTCGATGTGTTAACTATGGGAATGGTATGGGTACAACATTTATCAAATTATATTGGGAATGGTTTTGGCACTTGTTTTCATCCCATACCAAATCCATGTTAACATCTAACGATCCACATGTTAGATGTTAACATGGGTTTGGTATGGGATGAAAACAAGTGCCCAGACCATTCCCAATATAATTGCTACGGCTCAACAAAATTTGTACTGACTGGCATACATAGTTTTATTAACATGTAAAAACACAATAATAAACAAGTAAATAACATATTAGTTTAATAATCAACTTAAGCAAAGCTATAAATTGCGGTTAATGGAGTAATATGTTCTGAAGGCTCTATCTGCCCGAGGTTGTTTTCAGTCTGCCAACGCATCTGCGTCACAACAATTAATCCGTACCAGGTCCAAGTACCTTGGCAGAACAAGGGAACCGTTTTCTAGTCCTGTTAATTAATATTACAAAATATCAGATAAATATCGAACTTTGGCAGCTAAGCATGTGAACAACTGATGCAAACTTGGGATTAACCAATCAGAAATTATCCTGAAGGTTTATTCCTTCACATGCATAGGTACAATGCCCCCCTCTTTGCGCAAGGACTTTTGATAGCAGCGTCGACGTGCACTGCTCATTCGCAAGATTTTAGCCAGTCCGTTAACATATCTGGCAAAATTTAAGAGACCAAACCTCGGCAAAGGAGTGGAAATTAAAAAACCCACCCTCCTCCCAATAATCATGTGCACCAATCTACGTCTCTACAATATGGCGTGTTGTAAGGACTGTTACGTATGGCCATGGTCGTAGGAAGATCGATACTTTGGGGGGCTCATATTCATATATTCATGTTCGCAGACCGTAAGAACAATCAAATTCAAAAGAAGTAAATGATGCAGAACACAAATATATGAATATGAGCTCCTGCCCCCCCCCCCACCCCCCGCCAATTATCTATCTTTCTATGCATCAAAATTTAATACGTATGCGAGCAGGCTACCCATAGCAAAGACAGATAAGTTGTTTATGTTTGGTATTGTATTCTATTCTACTTACTGGGGTTTCTTTCGCTTTAAGAGATTTCACTCCAGTTATAAAGTGAGGTCATCGGCGAAGGTAAAGTAT